CCAATCGGCGCCGCGATACGCGGCGCTTAAAGTTTAAATTAGATCTAACTCCCTAGGGGCGTGCAGAAGGAACCAATCGGCGCCACGATGTATACGCGGCGCTGAAAATTTTAATTAAATACAACTTCCTAGCGAGCCTGCAGAAGGAACCAATCGGCGCCACGATATACGCGGCGCTCAAAATTTAAATTAAATACAACTCTCGCGAGCCTGCAGAATAACCAATCGGCGCCACGATATACGTGGCGCTTAAAATTTAAATTAAATATAACTCTCGCGAGCCTGCAGATGAACAAACTTATATGACTAGCACGTAAGAGGCTGCGATATAGGAATAGAAAAAGAACGCTGCATATATAGGCCCTTTCTGTCTTTGTCTACGCGCGCATGCGAAACAAATACAGAAAGGGCCCATGCGCAGCTTTATCTTTCTATTCCTATATCGCTTTTTATCACTAGCTTTTTCAGCTCGCTCGCGCACTCTATTCTTATATCTCTATGTATTTCACACATATATTGGGTGCGTTCAGCCGATACTCCGCTAGCCTAGCACGCGTGAGCAGTCGCTCGTTTCCTTTCCTTTTAATCCATTGGGTCAAAGGAGAGGAAACGAGCGAAAACGAGCGACTGCTCACGATTGCTAGGTTAGCGGAGTATCGGCTGAACGCACCCATTGGGTTTGTTTTTCTATTGCTGAACTGGTTGTACTAGTTTAGAGTTTTTTGGTTTCCAAAGTACGTGGGATAAAAAAGATAAACTTTGAATCTATTATTTCTAAGAAAAAATACGTTTGTGGGCAAAAATATTACTTTCATTTCTTGAATTTTATGACGCACAGCCGATATATCCACGAGGATCTACGTGATCCTGAGAAACGTGTCCTATTGGATATCGAATGTGTTCTAAAACTCGTCGAAGAAAACGTTTTTCTTTTGTCCACGAATACATGAACGTCCATAAGCGAATCTAATAAGAGAAATTTTTCCAGTCTAGAGTTTTCATAGTATAGTACTATAGTGCATAGCATATTTACCCAACCAAACGAAAATTTTATTATTAAACATTGTTTATATATCGAACAGTCTGAATATCCCATAATGTTACGTTGAATGTGTGTTCGTGTCAACACGACATTATATCAACGTAGAAGCACGCGACAGCCGTATGTACAAGTGGATGTACATACATATGTATATATGTATGTACATACATACATGCATACGTATGCACGACGCGTGTATAATATGTGACGTATATAGGGGTCGGTGAGGAACTGAGGAAGAGAGAGAGAGAGAGAGAAACGACGTGTGTCAAGTTACCAAGCGCTGTCATTTCTGGCGGTGCTTCGGTCGCGTCGCGTTGAGACGCGGTAGTGTTTTCGAGCATTTATTTTATAGAAACGAATCTCGCCAAGGCAAACGTGTGTTTACGTGAAACCTGTAATCTTTACGTGAAATGGCGGACACGACCGTAGATGCAACGCGACGCTTAAATGTGAAAAAACAAACGCTGGACGACGCTTATGCGGCGCCTGCGAATTTCCTTGAAATCGACGTGATTAATCCGATCACACACGGCGTCGGCAAGAAACGATATACCGATTATGAAGTTCGTATGAGGGTGAGTACGATCCTCATTTTGCTTCATACAACTTGTACATACGTTGTATGTACAAACATCGTAAACACGTCGCGGTATATCTGGCGTGCTGAACGTTTGTTTTTCCAACCTGTTTACGCCCGCGACGATATAACAGACGCATCGAATAACTCATTCGTGTCCTCTGCGTGATTAGACGTATATCGTGGGTTGTACCCGCTATCACCCGCGCTCGTGATAAAGACCGACGTGCTGTACGCTCGCTGCTGTAGATTTCGGGGACAAAAATAATATTCAGGAACGTCTGATGTGATTTTTTTTTATTGTCCATAAATTCGACACATCGCAAAGCTCGATGTAACGTTAGAAACAACGAAGGTGCACGAAAGCTGTAACAAAAATGGGAACGTGAAGATTTATCTAATATATACGGAATGATCTATGTGTAAATATGTGTTTTTTCAGCATATGCACGTGTACATGTGTCAAATATATTTCAATACGTTGGACGAGCCTTGCAACGGTGCCTTTCCCACAAGACACATATTCTCAGTCTTCTCAAAGTTCGTGATTTTTTTTCAGACAAACTTACCAGTCTTTAAAGTAAAGGACTCGACAGTAAGAAGACGATACAGTGATTTTGAATGGCTGAGAAATGAATTGGAAAGAGATAGCAAGGTTAGTTACTGAGAAAGGTAATTAAATAAATGTAGCAAAGCATGGAAAAGTAAAATGATGACGTGGCCTGGCGAATATATACAATATATATACACATACGTACATACACCTTTATTTTGGTCAAGATTCCACGTAAAATTAATTTAATCAAGTCAATTTGTTCGGGTATTTAAGGAAATATACATTTGTTTTTTAAATTTGTTATTCAACTATGAAAATGTTAAGCATACATGATGTGATAGAAAACCACTTTTTATATTTTCCTAAATTACAGATTGTGGTACCACCTTTACCAGGGAAAGCATGGAAACGTCAAATGCCTTTTCGTGGGGACGACGGAATATTTGAAGAAGATTTTATCGAAGATCGAAGAAAAGGCTTGGAGGTTTTCGTTAACAAGTGAGCATATTGTTTTATTACGCAACAGGAAATTTATACAATCTATGTTTCATGCAAAGAAATAATATACAGGCCACGCTAGCTGTCGGCTGAACACGGGCTATTTAACCCGACACTCTATACATGATGTTTAAAAGTTTTATTGAAATTCTTTCAAAATTTAACTACAGCGAGATTTCTATTTTAGGCTCGTTTATATTTATTTCTATCATTTGAGAGAAATATAGAAAGGAAATATGATATCTGATTATTTCTTTCGAACGAGTGTCGCGTTCCAGTATGATAACACGTTGCTGCGTTAATTTAATAATATTACCATGATAATAGTATGTTACTGGTTTTGCAGAACGTATGTTTAATTTGGATATGAGATAAAAATTACGGAAGCACATTATTTCTAACGTGTGTCGTCTATTGAAATCATTTATATTCTCACCATAGCACACTACTGCAGGCATGATATGTTGCAATAAATTTTACGTAGTTTTAAGTGTATGAATCTTATATGACGTGTATACAGTTGTTTGTATCACGTTTCTCATTTGTATTTCAGAATAGCTGGACATCCTTTGGCACAGAACGAACGGTGTTTGCACATGTTTCTACAGGAACCGGTAATAGATAAGAACTATGTACCTGGAAAGATACGTAATACATAAGTCGCCATAAAAAAGTATCACAAATACCTTTTCCACCAAGCTGTCACATTCGAGATCGCGTTTTCAGGCCTGCTCCTTTTAGCTCAAGTTCTTGCACGGTTTATCTTGTCTCTTTTTCTCTCCAATGTGAAGAAAAAAGAGAAAAGATGAACATGCGACAAGTTCGGTTAAAAAGAACAGGCCTTTCATTACATTGACATCTTATTTGGAAGTCACGAATATTCGTATATATTCTTGCAAAAACTAAGTAAGCTTCCAGTACTATGATATCAACGCAGGATGCTTATTTGGAAATATCCACTTCTAGTTATACTCTTTAAATATTGTTACACGAAAAGTATAGTTAAGCATCTTTATAAAAAAGCAAATAAATGATTTCGTGGCAAAACCATTCTCACATGTTACTAGATTGATTCTGTCTACTGTTATGTCATATACTGTTTATAAAAGAAAGAAGTGAGTAAAATAAAAAAAATGTTGATCATAAAAGTTTGTTGTAACATGTATGTTCTTTTTTTCTCTTTTTTTTATAACTGGTGCATTGTTCAACACAGTTGAACGTTTAATATGTAACGTGTTACCTTTTAACCAGTTTATAGACGTACCTCATTTGGAAATGAGGCATGTTTACGTGAAAAGATGAAGAGTACGCGCACACGCACGCACGCACGCGCACACACACACACACACACACACACACACACACCAAAATTAAATTTCGACCACAAAGTCTTTGCAGAATACATGTTTTCGTCAGGAGTATTTACATTTGTAGTATACATGTACGTCCATTGTGTGATGCGCAAACAAAACGTGAAAAAATGGAAGGAGAAAATGATCTCTACGCCAAAGTGCACGTTCCAAATTTTACTACGTAATATTGCATGAATGATAACGTCACTAAAATTTCCTTTACAGATATATATCCTGTTTAGTCTTAATAGATCTCTTGTTCTTGAAGTAATGTTCTATATACTTCCTTACACACTCTTGTTCTGAAACATAAACATGGAAGAATATATGAATATTGTGACTACGAAATAATGTCCTAGCCCCTACTCCTGTCGCTACATTGAGTCGAAGTCATTGAACATTTACAAGGTAGGTATATAGAGACCAGCACCTATACCTTTTTCCGATACTTTAATATTCATTCTCTACTTTACGTATATGAAAGGAAACAAATATAAAATGGAAATATTTGAATCAAAGAAATTTAAACCAGGTCTTTTTTCCAACAACCAACTCTTTTTGCCCAAGTATTGCAAACTAACGTCTCCATTGGTGTTGTATGAAATACTTAGTTCGTATACGAAACGGCATAACCATCCAAGATGTACGGTCGCAAATGTTTTTTTTTTTTTACTGTTATTAAAATATTATTAGTTTATACGTATTATTTGTTGTTGTTACTGTCTTTTATACAAACGTGCAAAATACGTCTTTGAATGCGTGCTGAAAAACAACCATATCCGCGTGATCACTCTGGCTCTCACCTGGAAATGTATTCTCTATAATGAGCATATCTGTGATGTACTTTGCAACAGCTTTGAAAAGCTGACGGTCTTTAATTCTCCTCTTTTTATAGAATGGCATCAAGTATTTCACAATCCAAGGTGCTATTCTTTCTTTGCAAGCAGGTAAATGTTCCTCTATACAGATTGGTGAATCTGGCATCATTTCTTCATCCTCGGATTCCCCAAATAAACGAAGAAATTGTTCTTTTACTCTTCCGTGCCTTCGATAATTTGTCAGCGATAACTCGGTCATTTTAGCTTTCAATTTCGAAACTTGATGCACACGTTCCACAAACCAAATAGCACTTGCTTTCTGTTTTTGTTTGCTCTCAACAGTTTCGTTTACGTTACGTCCTTTTAGTTTAACGGATCTTCTACTTTGCATTTCTTTATAGCGACTAAAGCTAATTTTTCCTTCACTAGTAGTTACTTTTGCTACGTTATTAGGCTTCGAAGCCGTCGTACCTACTGGAACACCGAAAAGATTCGAACTCGCAATAATGTCCGCTTCTAAACATATCTTATTAATTTCCTTATCAATATTTGCTTTAGTAACACCAGAATGTTTCTCAATTAATCTCGTGAGATCACTACTGTCGTCGCTTTCGCAAAACATATCCTGCATATGTTGTAATAAGGAATCTTGGGACGTTTCATCTTCGTTTCTGACAGGTGCGTTATCCATTGTATGAGAGTCACCCTGATCTTTTGATCCTTGACTAGCGTCGTTGGATTCTTCTTTCGTAACGCTTTGCAGCATTTGCATATCTGTCTCGTCCAAAAAATCTTCCATGGTATTTCTATTTTCGCAGGAACTGCTAGAATTCGCTGTAGGTACGGCTACTTGCACGGGTTTCTCACAGTTGTTGGACTTAGTTAAAGACACATTTTGTATATTAGTTTCTTCCAAATCCATCCACTCATCTGTTTGTATAGCGATGTCGATTCTGTCCGTAGGTGCTTGTAAAAATATTACCAATTTTTTATACGCTTTCTTTTTGACCGTATGCGACTTTACATCTGCAATCTACAAAGATAAACAACGTACAGTGATAAAACATTTAAATAAATAAAACTCATCACATAAATATTCCCTTTCTCTGTTAAACACTGTCAAACGTAATACTTCTTACCAATCTCAGCATATTTTGTCTGTATAAACTAGCTTCCAGTGCACAATGGACAGCATACAGTTCCATTTGGTCTGCACACTTTTTTACTTCAACGCTTTGTACGTTGTTATCGTCATCATCATCGTCATCATTTTGTTTGTAACAAGTTGCATAATTATCAAGTAAACACTTGTGAAGATAAGACGAATATACAGTTCGGACCTGCACACAAATATATAAGGTTGTATATAACACGTTTATCCATAATAATCAAGTCATTGACAATATCTTGGATCAGATTTTTTTCAATAAAAGATCCTTTAAGATATAAAACACGTTGATTCCGATCAATAAATATTGATATTACTTGAATCTTTTAAATTTCAGCTTAAACCCTTGATTCGTTCACGTAAAATTAAAATTTGATTAAGTTTTATTTCTCAAAGTTTAGAGGTCATCGTTCGCGCGCGATCTAAATCAACACCAACGTGACGTCAACATGTGGCAAACAAAATAAAATAAATTTCTTTAAACTTGAAACGTTTGCCAGAATTTTGATTAGTCAAAAAAATATGTATAAAACGACATACGTATGTCTCTCGGAAAAAAAGTAATCTCAACCTTTTTAATGATCTTTTTAAAGATTTAAGCCAAGTAAATTTGTACGTGTACGCAAAGAAACGTGCCATCGTAGTGAGACGTAAGAAGTCATTGTTGGATTCGTCGACAATGACGGAATTGTTTTTAGAAAGCGATGGCAAAGGCACAGATGAGAAGTCGCCGATATTATCCGAGTTAACATCACTGTCGCTGTCATTGCAGACATTCCGTTCTTTTTTCATTATAAACGGCAGAGAAGAGCAGTCAGTTGTCATCGTCATAGTGAATGTGTGTTTTGCACGTATCACATCACATGACATAAATGAAGATGTACATCTGTCAATAATGTATTGCTTCCACGTGATACGATTCTACATTACGGGCATGTTAATACTTGCAACGAAATTAACTGACGTGACGACACAACGTAATTATACGTGAAACCATCGGATTGAAACACACTGCCGTTACGAGAAAAGCGTCTCTTTCATTTCAGTCTCTGAGGGGTCTCCTTTATTCTCTGTCAGTGTTACCAATAGTTTCAGTATATATTGTACATACACATAAGTACTCTGGGGTCCTATTACGTATAAATGCAAAAAGTGAACAGATTTACTAGATTTCGACCAATAAAATCGTAGATTCTCTAGTGACGTCTCTCACTTTTCGCATTTTTATGCTAGGTCTACAATGCGAGTCGTAAAGTCGTGAGTCGTAAGAATTGACCAATCACAATCGAATTTGAGAAGAATAATTGACTGTGATTGGTCAATTCTTACGACTCACGACTTTATGACTCACATTGTAGACCTAGCATTACTTCGCGAAAAGTAGAGACCCTTAAGGCCATTGCACGTAACAAAGTTTTAGTTTTAATCGTAAGGCCGTAAGAAAATAGACCAATCACACTCTATTATTCTTCGAGCTCAAGGAATGATCCATACACATGTGCATAAGAAAATAGACCACGCAGTTACTTCTTATGCTTACGCCGTATGCGTTGTGCAGAAGTGTGTGCTCCCCGCTTAAATCTTTTTTCTTCCAATGTAGAAAAAAAGTTAAACTCTGAACCAGTGCAGCCAGTTCAGCAACAGAAAACAGACCCCATGGGGAAAAAGAAATAGCGGAATGGACGTAAAACGGACAGTACTCTGCTTGGCTAATATCCCACACCTGGGGACCTATTATGGACTTGTTCGGAATGGATTCCGATCGGAATTATTCCGTTTTCCCTAGAAAAGACAATAGAAATCTAGGAAATAACTGAACAATTCCGATCGGAATCCATTCCGAACAAGTCCATAATAGGTCCCCTGGAGAGTCCCCACCTGGAGATTAGCCACGCAAGCCTACGGTCCACTTAATGCTACAAATGCTTCGAACCACATTCCTCTTCTCCTTTCTTTCAATGAAGAAAGCATTTGTAGCGTCAAGTGGACCGCACAGCTCAAACTCCAAAGTGATTTTGTTTTATATATAATTCCGTTCCGCTATTTCTTTTTCCATGGAGATGCAGCCTAAAGTCCGTATCAGACTACGGATTGGGATTGAGATTGGATTGAAATTTAATCAATAGGCTTGTTCGCGTTGCTTGAAATCCCCAAACATTTTTGCACTTGAAGTGAGATAAATATATATATTCGGCCGTTGGAGAGAGAGAAAGCGAAGATGCTGAGTGCAAAAAGTGCAAGCAACGCGAACAGACCCAATCAAAACAGAGAAAACTGATCTCAAGTTTAGTAAACTTTGCTCTGATTGGTCAAATTTCAATCCAATCTCAATTCCAATCCGTAGTCTGATACGAGCATAAGAGGTGCAGGTGCAGTCAGTGCCTGCACCTCAGCGGCAACGCTCATTGGCTATGCTCCGTGCTGAGTTGCTGACTACGGCTGTCGACTGCAGATCATCAGCACTCGCGGCTCACGGCGCCGCCTTCCTCGTGGCTCGTCATTCCCTTGTAAAATTCCGCCTGTTCTGCACTCTGCAACGCAACTGGCGTCTGGCGACATTCTATGTGGAACGTCTAGTAGTATGTCATTAATGTTGTGACGTGTTATATATACATTTTTTTTTAAAAGGAAATATTCGACGCAGGTGTTGCGTGCGGTGGAAAAGACGGCGTAAAAAAGGATCGCAGGTAAATACGTACGCGATGCGAGATCGTCCGATATTTCATCGTTAGTATAAATGCGGGAGGTTAGGTTAGGGTAACGTAGCACTTGCCGTGCCATCAGTGCCCTGTCTCGCCCGAAACGTCGAGAGACGAACTGTCTCGCTGCTTTTTCTCTCTCTCTCTCTCTCTCTCTCTCTCTCTCTCGCGCGCGCGCGATATACATCCGAAAATTTAATCAACACCTTACGACGACAGTTTTCTTTCTCGACTTTTAGATAGCGAGTTGAGATAGCGTAGTCTGCACGTATCTCTGTTGCCTCTGTTGTATCTGCTGTCTCTGCGTAAACTCGTCGTTCAATAAACTCGTTCCCAACCTTGACGTCGCGCAAGACAGAAACCCTATTTCGTGGTAAATCTCTGGAAAGACGTGTCACTCTACGCTTTCGTTTTTACTCTCAGCCTTACGACGGATTTGAAACACGTATAGTTGCTATAAATATTCACGTAGTATGATATCAGTAGCTCGTGTAATAGAATATGTACATGGCCGAGTGACGCTTAATATTACAACGTTATGAGAACGTATATTTGACACATGTATGTAGACATAAAGATTCCGTGGACACGCTTGATAAAGACTTGACCATTTCTATAAAAAAGAAAAAAAATGTTTTGACGTAAATGTTTGCAACTAACGTATACATGTTTGAAAAGGACGTTGACGGTGCACACAGACAAATGTTACATGATGTGTAACGTACGTTTCTTAAACGTTCGTTATGTAGGTTTACCATTTGTACATATATGTGTAACAAGGTTCTCTTCTATAAATAAAATTTTACAAAGCTGGCTTTGGTTCGTATTACGTTAACATTGCATCAAGGTCTTTTTATTTGCAGCGAGAGAAAATGATGCAGGATGAAGATTTGGGTGGTCCAGTGAGAAAAAATGTTTTCAGTCAAGGGATAATAAGAATATCACAGGTTAATATCAGTTTCAACGTGATCGAATAAACAGTTTATACCTTACGTGACGCATATCTGTTCCGCTTTATTTTCTTCTATCAAAGTACTACTTGAACCGAGTATTAGCGCGTGCTATGAGATAAACGTAAACACTAATGAATATTCATAAACATCATTTTTACAACTTGCCTCTTGCACGCTGTTTTTACCTGGCCGATGTCTATTTTGACAACCTTCTCGTTTAGACGCTCGTTTTTATTTGTATATTTTCCACTCACGCTCTATTCTATTTCACTCTATTCTTGTGCGCATTATATAATCTATAAAATTTCTTTTTCGTTGCAGATATATCAAAGATACCTAGATCTATGGACTCCTCATGTAATATCACGATGGACATTTGCTTTATTCCTATTAGTACTTTTTATTCTACGTGTATTTATCTCTCAAGTATGATGTACTCTATTAATGTGTGCAAGCTCGATTTTTTACAGTTATATTATACAACGCTATATATAAATCGACACTTTCGCATTTACAGGGGTGGTATATCGTCACGTACGCTCTAGGAATTTATCACCTCAATTTATTCATAGCATTCCTTACTCCAAAAATTGATCCTGCCATGGATTTTGATGGTAAACGTTTTATACTAGACTGCACGGTCTAAATATTTTTTCCGTACACGTGTTCTATAACGTATACATTGAAATTAACATAGCGTATAGCATAGACGCGTATAGAATCGTACAGAAGTGTGATGAGTTGATAAAAACTTGTAGAATTACAGCGTAACATTGATGTAGAACGTCTATAGCGTGAACATCAATTTATGCAATTTAAAGATAAGAACTTTATATACATATATATATTTTTTTGGTTTAACATGACCACAGAGTTACCTAAAAAGATGAACGTCAACTTGATATAAAATTGCAGATGCAGAAGGACCAGAGTTACCTACAAGATCAAACGAGGAGTTCAGGCCGTTTATTAGAAGATTACCTGAATTTAAATTTTGGTACTCAGTAACAAAATCTACGATAATTGCCATGATATCCACCTTATTCGATTGCTTTAACATACCAGTATTCTGGCCGATACTTGTTATGTATTTCATAACACTGTTCTGTATCACAATGAAGCGGCAAATAAAGGTAAGAACGTGAGAGATACACTCTTTTTTTTACGATGCTTTTTTATACTCGTTGCTTTTAATTTTACCTGGTATTTTTTATTTTACGTCTAACAATAACGCTAAGGAGTTATATGCGTACGGATCTAATGGTATTGTATAGAATAAGATAAGGTAAAAGATTATTAAAAAAAAAAAAAAAATTTGGGAAGGCTTCCCACGCTTAAGTTAAACGCATCCTGTAAATAAACGTTTTTCGTGAAATACGTTCGGGAAGGATTGGCGGGACGTGGTAGTCGATAAACTCTCGTTTACTTCAACTAAAAATTTATTTAATTTACGTTATTTTTTATTTTAGATTCAGACGTTTAATTAACGGTCTTTTTTTATTTGCAGCATATGATCAAGTATAGGTATCTGCCTTTCACTCATGGCAAACCAAAATATCAGAACCATGAAGACACCTCGCGCGGTTGATATCGCCAAAATGAATAGAAGTAAAGAATATATTGTGCCTGTACAGGAGGAGGGGAGAGGCGTCGTAAGCGTGTAGATTTTAATTTCTCCCAGTACAGGATAAGGCGTACTAGAAAGAAAAGAAACCGACAAAAATTTTTTTTTATGCCATTAAAGGGAAAGGATATTGCCTTGTACGAGAAAGAATCAAGTCCTCGCCGAGGACTTGTAACTCTAAATTATACAATGTACGGTATATAAACTGGATTATCTTAATATATTTGTATCATAAAACTTGTACAAAATATTGTTAGCTCTTATCTCATTAAAAGAAATGAGGAAAAAAAATATGGTCACATCCGATATCGCGAATGCAGTTGTCACGTTAGCAGACATGTGTAAGAATTTCTTAATATAGTTAATGAGTGCTTTCCATTTACTTTTTGTATCGCTGTGGTGCCTCGCCTTTTCTCTCGATATCTCAAATTGATTAATTTTGCATAGGCACGAAACTAAAAGATAGAAAGAAGAAAGCAAACGTAAATCAATATCTATTTTCTAACGTACATGAAATATTGTCTTTAGAGTGTATTTATATGTATGCAAATATATCTGGAATATATATAATTGAAATCACAAACCAATTTATTATGTTATCAAATCACGTGTTATATTGCTGTTACAAATTAAATGAAAACAACGTAGTATTTTGCGTATTTTTAAGCTATTCAGAACACTTTATTTGGAACACATCAGTGTCACAACATATGACATGTGTTTTTCACAATCATTACGGTAGAGTGACTGACTCGAAACAATTCAAAACAAAGATATAAGCATCGTTAAAAGTCATATACAAGTGGAAAGTACTCAATCAACGTTGTTTATAATTTTGGAGAGTATCGTTTCCTCAGACACGTACATTCCATGCGATTTATTTGCATCTTAAAGATAAGAAATTATTTTTCTCGAGTTACTTGAATATCTACTCCATTTTCTTTTTAGTTCAAAATTATTTAAAATATTTTCTTTATGTTATAGAGAACATTTTCCATGTCTTTGTTCTAATATACATCGTACGCAAAATTGAAATCGTGAAATGCAGAATGCGCAAGTCCACACGCCTTTCTTTATACAAGTTGCGTACGTTTGATTAAAAAAAAAATTAAAAGGTTGCTACCTTTAATAATCTCTAATTATTAACATCTATATTAACAATGTAAAGAATTATTTCACCAGCTGCTTTGTTAAACACGTTATCAAAGGGATTTACGTAAATGTTAAAGTTAAAAAAAAAACAGCCTTATATACATTGTTTTTTTTTTATAGTATATTTATATTGTTTTTCGAATTAAACGTTTTAAGAATAATCTAAATTATTTACATGTAAAAAGATTATCTTAGCAGTTTTAAATACATAAAACAAAGAATTTACTATAGTATTAAATGAGGTCATAGATTTGATACTTTTGGTCGTAAAATTATATTTATATAATAGTAATAATAAATACACGTACATTTTTTATACTATACGTGTACACACGAAATTAGCTTAGCAGTTTTTTTATAAATTGATATTACGTCAAAAAAGTTGATGATATTTTAATGTTGTAAAAAATTATAATATTTATGTAAAAAGAATTGTTGCATTTTATTATTGTGATATTTTACTTATTGGACTAGTATTATATTGCATTTTGCGACCTCACAACCAATCTAATTTCTTGTATACGTCGCGGTAGCGTAACATAAAGAAACATGTATATAAATAATCTTTTTGAAATTTCTTTTTACATTTATGTGCTGCAATAGCATAATGCTACTAAGATTTAGTTTGAGAGAGAGAGAGAGAGAGAGAGAGAGAGAGAGAGAGA